TTAGTTCCGGAGAACGAGCGGTTCTTGTGGACCACTGCAAGGCTACTTTCCCGCTGGAACGGCTCCCACGCCACGCTCGCCTTCTCTGTGTTAGCGGACGTGATCGCCAGGGTTCGGCGACCGTCAGGTAGGATTCCCACCTCACTTTCCAGCCCACTAAGGAAGCGCTGGACCTCTGCGCCTGAAGGGCAAGCAAGGGAGAGACTGGGAAGCACGAAGGGTCACCTACACACACATTTTTGGGGGTTGGCCGCGGCCGCGACTGTGCTCCGCGGTGCGCGTCGCCGCCGATGGCGGACTGCGGAACTAACGCACTTTGGGGGTGTGTGTTGTTTCTGACCATCGCTTGTTTGGATTAGGTGTCAGGCAGAAAGGTTCGGATACTTGCTGAATCTCGCCCTGCGTTTGTTCCTGGCAGTTTGGAGGTGAACTATGTAAGTTCTATAGAAAAGGCATTTTGCAATATTTGCAACGCACCAAACGTGGTTGGCATCCATTTGACCACACCTGTTGGTGCGGTATAGACCACGTCCAGAAACCAAGTGCGTATCCTAACAACTTTAGGGGCTGGCTTCCGGGGCGGGAGAGTGAGTAAATGGGTGGCTCGCAGCCTGCGTGGAACACCGATACTCCCCAGGTACTATGCGTGACAAAAGTAAGCGACCCCTCCGGCCGGGCCTGGCGATACCCCGCGCCCAGGCCGCTGCCGAGACAGGCGGACTCCTCGGCAGATGGACCGACGCAGGGCTGCGCTGTTGTCAAACTATCACTGCAGGTGCCGTGAGGGGGAGGGGGGCAGCATGTGCCAAAGTGCAGAGGCAGAGGACCCCGGGCCCGTGGCCTGGGAAGTCCGATGCGCAGGCAACTGGACTTGATCGGGAATCTCGGTTCAAATAGTCGTAGAACAAAATTTCAAGATATCACTGGACTCGCAGCTTCGCAAGGAACCCATTTCCACTCAATTCGAAATCCAAAAAAAAGTTGTTTGAAAATTTTTATTTTGAGTCAAGGGGCAATAAATCAGCTTGTCAGCACCCTCACGCCGGTGCAGCCAGGCAGTGAATGAGGCCTGCGACACAATAGCCTGCAGGCAACCCGGCTAATTCTAGAATGCAAATTTTCTAGGGCGTTATTTTGACATGTTGGGAATGTTGGCCACTGTATTGAGGACTCAATTTCCGACTTATACATGTAAAAATTAATTTTCTAAGATCATTTTGATGAAGTAAGAAAAAGTTTACTAGATACCTTACAATGAAATAATCAGCTCAGATTGAGACGCATTTTGGTAGTGGTGTCAAAAATAGTCATATTTGCATGAAATTGACTTGTAAAAATAGCACCCGGCCAGCAGCAGGAGCAGAACCGCTCGGCTGCTCTGTGGCATCCAGACCGGCGGCTGGCCCAGGGTGTCATTCACTCGTCGGGGGGTAATAAAGCTATTGTGCACCTGCAGTGATAGTTTGACAACAGCGCAGCCCTGCGTCGGTCCATCTGCCGAGGAGTCCGCCCAAGGGGTCCCCAACCGGGCCGGCGAGCGTACACTGACTTAAAGTCGAAAGTGACTTTATGACTTTTTGCTGACTTTTTGTGACTTTTTGATTTTTTGAAAAATTTTTGATTTTTTTATGACTTTTGACTTTTTTGTTGACTTTTGATTTTTTTGCTGACTTTTGACTTTTTTGCTGACTTTTGACTTTTTTGTTAGATTTTTGATTTTTTTAATGATTTTTTTTCGAGTTTGTTGTGATTTTTTCACTAGAAATGCAGCTGATGCCAGAGGCGCTGCTTGCCAACGGCCTGGATAGGTAGGCAACTTCTTTAGCAGCATTGACAATGACAGCCTGCAGTCATAGGCAACCCCTCCAACACGGCGTCTAAACGCTCCTTAGTCCAGCGGGCCGCAGTGGAAGAAAAGGCCTCTTAAATTGGGGTGTGGGCATGATTGCTGATAATGCAAACAAATGTTTCTATTTTCCAAGTAGTCTACTTTATCATTTAATTAGCATTAGCAAAATACAATCAGTCATACATAGCAACATTTATCATAATATTAAAATATGGAAATTTGCCCCTCTTACAGGACAGGGGTACTTTCTTACTCAAAAGAAATAAAATCTTGCTGCCTGGAGTATGCAATAGTCAACTTTCCATTAAAATCCTAGTCTCTAAACCAAATATTTACATTAGAATATCATTTCTTAAGTAGAGAAAAAAATCAAAATAAATATATAAATAAATTAGGAATGAGAGCAACATACAAATAATAACATTTATCACAAAGAAAATAATACATTTGACTAACGGTCTCATTGTCCCTCATTTAATCATTACATTCATCGAATAAATTACAAAAATATCATTCATAGTTTCTTAAGAGTAAGGAGATCAAAATGCAATCAATCTTAAACAATAATCAATAAATATAATATCACTCAAGAAAGTCATTAATCTTCTAATAGTTTCATCTAAGAGGAAAAGCTGTCCCTCTTTCATTTGAGGTGGTGGCATGGTCAGAATGTACTTCTCAATGGAAATAAAATCTTGCTGCCTGGAGTATGCAACTGTCAACTTCCCATCACCATCCTTGTCTCTAAACCAAACGGCAAGGCAACCGATGCCTCTTGGATTAGTGACATCTGGTGGCGGATTGACTGGTGCATCCTCCAGGGAGTATGATCTGTTTTTTCCTTTAAGATAGCAAAACTCCAGGATTTGGCCGTAAATTACTTTTTTCTTCTCAACAAAGACACACCAGTCACCCATACTAATAGTGTCCTTCTTGGTGATTGCAGAGACATTCTTCTTATTTCTTCGGCTCAATGAATACAGAAGGGATCCCTTTACACGTTCAATTCGTTCACTGGAAATGCGAATACCTTCATTTGTAAGGAGCCAGCACAGAGTAGATTTTCTCATACAAATGACTTGGTTCTGGGTGTTGACAAAATTGACAAATCTTTTATCAGCAGGTTTAGGGAGAGAAATGTCTTGTTGTCCCAGGTCAATTGAATGTGTCCTGTCAGAAAAAGCTGCAAGTATGTCCAGGGGTACATCTTCCTCAATTGACTCCACATGAAGTTGCAGGAATTCAAGATCATCATCACAAAGGATTTCATCATTGGAAATTCTTGAGGATGCAAAGGGTCTTGAGATTCCCAAGGGTTTTCTTGGAATACCCAAAGCAGCGGTAACATTCTGAGCATCAATGAAGGCCCCTTGGATGGTTGCGAATATTTCTTCATTTGATGGCAGGTCAAATCTGGGTAATGTTGATTGCATTAATTTCTTTCTTTTTTCTCTAGGCATAACATAGCCGAGTTTTTGAAGCTTTTCGGTTACATACAGGAGGATATCCACTCTCTTGACTTTTTGCAGGAGTTCAAGCAAGGTGAAATTGACGACAGTAGACATAGTTGTTGTTAGAGACCTCAAAAGCCGGAAAAACATTTCACAAGCTTGACTGGAAAAGAGTTTAAGAAGGAATTTTTCCTGAAGATTGTTGTCCCTGAAGTGCATCATCAACTTCACCAGCGCATGAGCATTTATTTCCATGCATAGATACAAATTGGTCGTCAAGAAGTTGTCTTGCAGGTTGAATGCTGTGGATGAAACGATGAAGTGTCTCCAGATGCGTATGAAGAAAAGGGCTCGCCACATCAGGAATACACGGCGCAGTGGAGGAAGTTCATCATCATGAAAAGCGTTCTTTACATCTCTCATTAATTTCAGGTATGCTTGTGTACCCTCCGCACCTTTCATACCATTGAGGCACTCATGAACTCTCTTGTCACACATCTTTTCAGTCGAAGAAAAATTCATTTTGTCTTGCTTCTTCAGGTCACTAATTGTCAGACCATGTGCTGCCTTGTCTCCTTCTTGTATCAATATTTTCAGATGTGATGAAGATGCAACATATCGACCAATTGGGAGAACAATAGAATCTTTCAGCAATCTTGTCTTAAATTTGTTCAGGAGGTGGATTAAATCCTGAATGACAGTCTCTTGCTTGTCACCATCACAGTAGATATGTGAACACTCTGGAGGTGATGTAGAATTTTGTGGAAACATGAACGAAATCATTGCACTCAATAACTTAGGATCACCATCAGAGGAAAACGATTTCACGATGATGCCCTCTTTGGCTAACTCCGACTTGATGTAATTGAACCTGTTGTAAACTTGACCGGCTACAAATTTGTTATCCGTGCCCATGACAAGTAGACAAAATGGGGCAGCTCCTAGAGCTAAGGGTTGAGCCATTACAACATATGCACTGCCTACAGCTTGTGCATTACACAAATGATGAGCGATCAAGGCAGCAGAAGAAGCAGGGTAACAGTTTAGTTGTGGCATCCCATTTGAAAGGAGCGGAAGAGGAGCCCCAATGATTTGATCTGATCTTGTATCATAGAGGAGTTTGGGAACAATCCGAGTCCCATCTTCACTGATGCTGACCTCCATTGGCAAGTTTCTAGAGGTGAGGTACTTCTTCAATTCACTTACACGAAGAACACCTTCCTGCACAGGATCCACAGATGAGGCCATAAAATATTCTATAGTAGATATGGCTGGTAAGCTGTCTGTCATGTTTGCATAGAGAAACTCATAGATCATACGACCTGCAATTATGAAAAGGTACGTTGAGAAAAGCTTCACTTCCTCACAATAAACCTTGCCATGCTTTTTCCTTGTTGAATTTTCTTGAGCAGTTAGCATTAAAATTTTCAGAAAATGGGAAATGTTTACTGGACAATCTATTTTCATTTCCTCAATTCGAAGCTTCAGTGCTTCAATTATAGCTTCATCCCTTTTCAGAGTTGCTTCTATAGCATCAAGAAGTGGAAAGTAAGCTGGGATTCTTGTCTGGCCGGGCACTTGTATCATTAACTTCCTCCTAGCTCTTGACAGACGCGAATATTTGCTTTGAGACCACTTTGATAATTGAGGCCTTTTTTCTTCTGGAAGGATTCTTGATGGCCCCTCTGTCCTTCCAGTCCTTAAAAATGGGAATCACCTTCTTCATCCGAAGAAGTAGCTATTTTCTTGCTCCTCTTCGGACTCTCACTTTCATTCTCACCACAGCTCTGCCTTTTTTTACTCGTAACTGTTTCAGTGGTTTCAGTAGTCTCACCTTCACTTTCAACATCAATTACTTTGTCAGCATCTGAAGGATTGGTCTCCTTATCTGATTTCTTTCCTGACAAGAAATCTTTAATTGATGACTCTGATTTTGAGTGCTTTGCTTTCACGTGTCTTGTAAAGTTTGACAAACACCAGTTTGAGTCAATCTTTAGCACAGAAGAAACGGCTGAACATTGACTGCAGGAAATTTTTGCAGAGAGGCTCGCTCCCCTCGTTGACTCCACCACTTTGACTACAATATCTAATTGATCCAAGCTTTCATAGAAGTTTTTGAGCTCGTCTTTCTTCATACAAAATGTTTTACACCCCTGCCTTATTAGTCGAGCTTCAGCAGCCAGATCATTGGATGGCACAAGAGGTGAGTGAGGGGGTGAAGACAGAGAGCTTTCCTTATCAGTTCCTGTTGCATTCTGAAAAGAAAAAGAAAATAGTTGCCCAATGCAGATTCAACAACAGAAATAATTTGAATAAAAATAAGAGAAGTAATAATAACAATAATAATAATCACCTTTTTACAGCTTTTGTTGAAAATGCTAAAGAGCGGTTTAGGCGGTGTAGAAAGTGCTGCCATTGGTATCGATATAGGCTTTTCTGAAGTTTTATGATTTTGTTTAACCAGACTTACTAATCTTCTCAGGAATTTCTTCTCCCCTGGCATGAAGCTGAATTTGGCTTTGTCACTTATGGGGCCCAAGAACAAAGGCAGGGTATTATTTGGGATTCGGTCTAAAATTCTGCCACTCCGTACGAAATCTTCTATAAAGATTATGTCATCGTCATCAAAATCCTTTAGAGCTTCTAGGTTGGCGAATCCTGTGATTTGGAGAAGCCGCTTCAGGTGGTTCTCCATGGGGGCGCCTAGCCAATTCTCCAGCTTGCGCCACAACATTTGCACGGGGTACTTGTTTTCCAAGTTTTCATCCTCCAATTCATCACCCTGCAACAAAATATCACATATTTAAAAATTTACACCAGCCCCCTCAGGATTCTTTTAAATAATATGTTTACCTTTGTTGATACAGTAGCATCATGTGTTTGTGATGATGGTGATGATGCCTTTGTTGTGGTTGTGGACTCTCGACTGCCTTCGTCAGAAGCCTTGTCAGGAGCTTTCTCTAACTTGCTGCTTTCATCTGGTGAACTGCCACAGCCACAGCCCCCTGCCTGCAACAACAAAACAATTTGGATTAAGATTAACATTTTTTTATTTTTCAAACTTGCCGCCTTTGAAGTACGGTCTTGATTGGTCAGAGAGTGGCCAATGAAAACACTCCATTTTGAAAGCAGAGCCCTGAATGGCTGGATCTGTGGCTTGCTAGGGATCTGCTCGGCCAGCTATGGAACTCATCAAGTACATTAAAATTGCTTTACTCTCTTACAGGTTGAGCGGCTCGTGAAACCAAAACTAAAAGCAATCATAATCTCAATTTAATGTTTTTGTGTATTGAAGGTTATGGACGGCACGTCAGCGTCGTTAGCGTTCCCGGGAGTCAGGCCGGTCCAGGGCCGGTCCGAGCGCGACTCAGCGGACAGCGGCCGTCCCACGTACACAATTTGATTTTAGCCCTTCCCGCTAATGACTGAATGTTCCCGGAAAACACGAACTCGTCGCAGCAAAATTTTGAGCTCTTACCTCTTGCTCTAAGTCCACCGGCATCTTTACAATCCTTGTCGCGATCTGACAGCCCGCCTTGGCCAGCCTTCTTCAACTCAACGAGACCTGAGAGACCTGCGACACACCAACACGTATAACAGTTATTTGCTGTTCCCAATCTTATTTCATGTGAATCAGCATCAGCAGCAATCGTCTCTACTCACAATCACTCACAATCTGTTACTCGCCACTCGACCGTTCCGTTAGAGCGTTACAGAAACTTCGATTGTTGGGCCCAACGACAATTCCTGCAAGGGAATGGCATAGGGAGGGGGAGGGGTGGGGAAGGAGGGAGGGGTGGGGTGGGGGAGGGAGCGGAGCGGGTGCAAAGCATAGGGTAGCGTTCTGCAAATAAGACCAAGGTTTGCTTTTTATTTCTGTTCATTTTCGCTTTATTTAACTTAGATTGGATACATTAGTTGTTTCAAAATATAACATAATTTATAATTTAATGCATCATTTATGGAATAAATTAAAATTTCCTAGGATAACTAATCAAACCCGACAATTTGAATCTGGCGGAATCTGGCTTGTGGCGGCAAACTGGTAAATTTGCAGCAGCTTCCTATGCTTGCCTTATCCAAAGCTCCTGTAATGAGGTAAAGATTGCATTAACATAAAATGAAAGCATCTGTCTAAAATCTGTTAAAATCATGCGGCACACTAAGATTTAAAGAAGCAAAGAAACATCACTATGTGTCTATAAGTTAAACAGTGGCCTTTAAGTGTAACAGTGGTAGGCAACTATTGATGTTATTTGCTGTTACATTTACAAGCCATTCTGTTTCACCTATAGACGTGTAGTGATGTATCTTTGCTTCCATCTTACTGCAGTGCTTGAGGTTACCAGATTTTAGACAGGAATCCAAACACCCGACAACTTGGCAGCGAAGTTGGACAAAGTCAAAATATTCTCATTACTTGTTTCTTTTAATCATTGATTTAGTTACTAACTTCTCAGAACAAGAAATGCAGTTGAGAGTGGAACAATTTCTTGTTAAGTTTAGAATCAAGTCAGTCGAGTAAGTTTCAATTTTGCACTGCACTCGCAAGGCAAGTTTGTTTCGTCAAGCTAACGGACTAATTATATTCCCTTTTATATTTAAAGCTATATTTTCTATCATCAGGTGTTCTTTTGCCATATCTCACAACACATAACATTAAATTTTCAAAAAATTCAGAAATATTGAGCTCTTATGACTTACATCCACACTCAGTCTTTCACATCCTTGGACAGGGAGGCTCGGCCAGTTGATGATTCAGAACGTCCTCAAACCAATCAAATATATAGTTAAGAAAATTAAAAGCTTGATTTGAAGGAAATGTACAAGGCCCTGATGAGCTTCAGCATCAAAAGTGTTCACACTGTTGTCAATGAAATGAATGAGAAACCAAACAATAACAACAATTTTTCATCCCTCATCTTCATGAAAAACTCCTCCATTCACGTCGATACCCCGTGCTTGTGGGGTCAGCGGCGAAGCTCGGCAGTGCTAAAGTAGCAGTTCTGAAGACTTTTGTGATGACTTTCTGGTGATTTTTTGATTTTTATTGACTTTTTCTGAGTTTTACTGACTTTTTTGACTTTTTGATTTTCATTGACTTTTTTGACTTTTTTGACTTTTAACGACTTTTTTAATGACTTTTTCACCCGCGTACACCGATTTTCGCCGGTTGGGGACCCCTCGAGTCCGCCTGTCTCGGCAGCGGCCTGGGCGCGGGGTATCGCCAGGCCCGGCCGGAGGGGTCGCTTACTTTTGTCACGCATAGTACAGCCCTACGGGTCGGCACGGCTCGGCGTGCGCGGACAGCACCAAACGAGTATCGTATGCTTCCATGAACGTTTCTAAAATGTAGATTTTCGTTTCTCTTCCCAACCCAACCAGCTATTACACTGTTAAAAATAGTTGTTTTAAAACAACAACACAGTTACCAACCTCGACAACGCTGTTGTTTGTGAACAAGTTTGCTTGTTTTGAAACGACGAATTCGTTGCTAATTATTTTAATGACTTATGCTGTTTCAAAACAATATTTTGCTGCGTACAAACAACCCGGACAATCTAAGAAGTGGTTACTGCGGGGTAACCGGGACTCTAATAGGTCTGTGACCTAATCGGCAATAAAAATTGATGCAAATAAGGCTGTCATCGGTTTACAAACATCTTGTGGACGAACGACGCAACTCGTTAGTAAACAACAAAAGTCATTTGAAAACAACTTTGATCGCTAAGAAAATTAGCAACATATTTACTGCTAAATTACAACATAATTTTTAACAGTGTAGTCATCTTTAACTAGTTTTGTCACTGCTGTCAAAATATTGCAAATATGCCTGTTTGTATGACCTATTTGTGCCAAGACTTGAGCCTTGACCCAAAGCCCTAATATCTGGAGGTCCGACATGAGCCCGGATTGAGCCCCGACCTGAGGCTCGAGTCCTGGCTGAGATCAGGGCCGTATCAAGCTCACGCCGGGGCTCAACTCGGTTTGGGGTTGGGATTCAGGTTGGGTTTCTGGTCACAGGGGTACAAGGATTGTGTCATCTATGCCAAACAAATATCAACTATGAAAAACACACCTTCAGTCAAAGTAAAATTTTTGGTGTTCAGCTATTCCCCTGCCCATATTTTCTCCGCACTGACCCCTCCGAGAACACTGAACAAGTGCATACTTGAAACATTTTGACAACAGTGACAAAGCCAGTAAAAGATGACTAAAAAGTGGTTGGGTTGGAAAGGGAAACAAAAATCAATCTACGGCAGAGAGCCCATCGTGAATCTGAACCAGCAAATGAATCAGACTTAAGCCACGCAAAGATATTCTCCACTGTAGAACTTATATAGTTCACCTCCAAACTGCCAGGACCAAACGCAGGGCGTGATTCAGCAAGTATTCGAACCTTTCTGCCTGACACCTAATCCAAACAAGCGATGGTCAGAAACAACACACACCACCAAGTTCGTTAGTTCCAGAGTCCGCCACCGGCGGCGACGCACACCGCGGAGCACAGTCTCGGCCAACCCCCAAAAATGTGTGTGTAGGTGACCCTTCGTGCTTCCCAGTCTCTCCCTTGCTTGCCCTTCAGGCGCTGAGGTCCAGCACTTCCTTAGTGGGCTGGAAAGTGAGGTGGGAATCCTACCTGACGGTCGCCGAACCCTGGCGATCACGTCCGCTAACACAGAGAAGGCGAGCGTGGCGTGGGAGCCGTTCCAGCGGGAAAGTAGCCTTGCAGTGGTCCACAAGAACCGCTCGTTCTCCGGAACTAAACAAAATACATTGGGGCGTTGATCTTTTCGCTTAGAGGACATATCAAGGTACATTTTGAGCCATAGAACGCCAATTTTGATCAGGGTACAAAAAAGTTGCATAATTTTTAACATTTCACTATAATAGTGCAAAAAGTAAAAGTTTCCAAGAATTTTTGGAAAAAATCCTATCTTTTTCATTTTTTCTTCCTCTTTCCAACGCTATAAGCGGTTTTGAGAAAGGACAAATACTTTCCGAGATATAAATTTTTTTAGGTTGATAGGTAATTTCTTTTACCAAAAATGAAGTTTCAGATATCTCAGACCCCTGTCGACTTTCCGGGGAAAAAAGTACCGGGCCTTCAATGGGCCCATAGGGCCAACAATCCCTGAAAATACCGCTGGGTTCGGCCGACACGTCCCTCAAAACCTTGACGACTTGGCGTGGAATGACCCACCTGAACAGAAGACCCGGCTATCTTTTCAGAGCGATTTGAGAACCGGCTACCTTTTCAGAGCGATCCGAGAATCGGCTATCTTTGCAAAGCGACCTGAGAACCGGCTATCTTTTACGAGCGATCCGAGAACCGGCTATCTTTTCAGAGCGGTCCGAGAACCGGCTAACTGACTTTTTTTAAGAAATTGAGTTTCTTACATTAATCGATAGAACAGGTGATGCGGATTATTTTAATGTAAGAAACTCAATTTCTTAAAAAAAGTCAGTTAGCCGGTTCTCGGACCGCTCTGAAAAGATAGCCGGTTCTCGGATCGCTCGTAAAAGATAGCCGGTTCTCAGGTCGCTTTGAAAAGATAGCCGATTCTCGGATCGCTCTGAAAAGGTAGCCGGTTCTCAAATCGCTCTGAAAAGATAGCCGGGTCTTCTGTTCAGGTGTCGTTTTGTTTCCACTACCTATTGTGATCTGCTTTTGCACTGAAAAAGACAAACAATTCAATTTGTCTTTCATTGTTCAGGAAATTTGATGAGTTTAACAGTAAAGTATTACATAACAGGCATGCCTGATTGGAACAAAATTTTAGTAACGTTGGCAAAAATATCGAAAGCCATCTAAACAAGATGCAAAGAACAGAACTGATTCAAGATTCAGAGCAGCTACCGTTATCTTCTTATGAGCGCCTCTTTGTAAGGGTTGCTTCCTTTTGTGAAGCTGTTAAACTGATTAATTTACAACATAGGAATATTCTTTAGTTTGCACATTGATCAATAAGTTAAAATATGCACAAGATGATATTCAATTTTGTGCGCTCCACGTGTATAATTTTATGCTCTTGAAATGTAAGCTATATTTTGTACATAAGCTTGCCAGGCTTTTGTGCATAAGCACATGCGCCACTTTGTGATAAAGGAACGCAAAAACTTATTCACTATTATGTATGAAAAACCACACAGTCACTTAGTGTGTACATTCAAGAAATGCTCACTTGCGAATTGCTCCATACTGAAAGGATGAGGGAGGCAAAGCCTGTAAACATTGGCCCACACAAGAAACGTAACCGTCGTCCGAACCTCCCCTCTCTTAACCCACCCCCACCCCTCGCCTTCAGGCAGGGTTTTCACTGTTGCATTGTTTACAAACAATAATATTTATTTGCACTCCTCTCAGGTAACTGTGAGACACTATGAGTTTGTGTGTCTTATTCGTCCTCAGACACGTATGACATCTATATTGATCATATTTGATGACAAAGGAACACCATTTGCTGAAAAGTGGGCTCGCTCTGGAAAAGTTTGCGAAAA